CTTCCAGGGAGAACCAAAGCGGCTGAGATAACCTTCCTTATTCTCAACTGCCACACGCAGGTGTGGGCCTGTTTCGCGTCTCTGCCCTCCTACCAATCTAGACGTGGCTTCTTTTTTATATTTTTAGTTATGGGGCTTCTGTTCGGCTAGACTTCAGAAGGTTTTTCAGGTTGCTTGTTCTATAATTTAGTTGTAATTTTAATGTGCTCACGGCAGAATGCAGGCACAGTGTCTATCTACTCCGCCATGTTGGATCGCTCCCCTATAGTTAGGTTATTATTTTGTAAATGCTATCTTTGTTTCTTTAATTGGTATATTTAGACCATTTATATTAAGGTAATTATTAATATGTTAGGGCTTAAGTCTGCCATCTTATTTGTTTTCTGTTTATTTCTTCTGTGTCTCATCCCTCTGTTTCTGTTTTCTAGATTTTCTGTTGGTTATTTGAACATTTTTAGGATTCCTTCTTGATTTATCTATAGGATTTTTGAGTGTATGATTTGTGTAGTTTTGTTCATGTTTGCTCTGTTAAAACATGTGACCCATAGTCCACTGGTGTCAACATTTTTCCACTTTTAGTTAAGTGTGATAATCTTAGTTTCATTTACTCTTTTTACTTTTAAACATCATTATCTTGAGTATCAGGTGGTGTTATAATTTTTGTTTTGATCATTGCATGTGATATAAAAGCTTACTAGAAGAAGTATTTACCCATATTTCCACTCTTTTCATTGATCTTTATTCCTTCCCGATGCTCCTAAAAAAAATCTTTTTTTTTTGACAAATACAGACACCTATGTAACACACTCCTCTCAATATATAAAATATTTCCATCAAGGAAACTATCGTCTGCTTTCCCCCATTCCAGAAGTAATCATTATTGTGATTTCTATCACCACAGATAGTTTTTGTATGTTGTAAAACCTCATATAAATAGAATCTAACAGTAGATAGGTTTTTGTATCTGGCTTCTGTTATACACATAATAACCTTGAGTTTAATCTGTATTCGTTGCATGCTTTTAAAAATTTTTATTAAATTTATTGGGGTGACAGTGGTTAGTAAAATTGTTGAATGTTTTAGTAGTTTTTTTCATTTTAATTGCTGAATAGTATTCCACTGTATAAATATATCACAATTTGTTAATCCATTCTTCTTTTGATTGGACATTTGAATTTTTTCCAGTTTTTGGCTACTATGAATTAAGCTGCTATAAACATTTGTGTACAGGGTTTTTGTGTAGTTATGTTTTTATTTCTCTTGGGTAAATACCTAAGAGTGGGATTGCTAGGTTGATGTCTTTTTTTTTTTTTCCTCATTGGGTTTCTAGTAACTTCTCTGCTCTAAATGTTATAAGATGAATTGGGAACAATTACTCTCCTCCTAAGAATGTTAGAATTTTAGAATACTTTAATTAAGCGCTCACACAATGTGAAGTTTGTTTTTAATGGTGTGAGAATTTTAACCAATCTTTTATTTATTCTGTCCCTTTTTTCCCCTTGAATTTTAGTGATTGAGCCTTCAGGGTTGTTTTAAAATGATCCCTTAATCAGTGTTTCTGAACTGAGTCTGAACACTCTCAGACATGTTCACTTGAGGGCTTTTGTCTTCTCTCCTTATAACTAATTAGTCTCTGTAAGCTTCTATTTTCTCATCTGCCAAATGAGAATAGTAATAGTTCCATATCTCATTGGGTTGTTCTGAGGATTAAATGAGAAAATTTATGTTAAACCCTAACACAGTGACAGGGATGTAGTAAGAGCTCAATAAATGTTGGCTGCTATTACGTTATTATTTGTTGCTAGGATTTCTGTCACTGCTCTTATGCTATGTTTTTAAATGTTTTACATGCATTTTCTCTGGAGCTACTAATTACTCTTAGTTAGTGTTCTCTCTTGGCATTAGACGAAGGGCTTTTATTTCTCCTTCGGTTCATTGACCCCATGCTCAGTGATCCCAGAGGTGACTCTTGCACTGCTCCCAGAAGAAGGAAGCACATGGTTTCTCTGTCTCTAGATATAAGCACCCTGTATGGGGCAGAAATAGTGATAACCCTCTTGCCAACATGATCAGTCTAGTTTTCTCTTTTATTCTTATTCCTCTTCTTTCAGAACAAAGTTTTTAGCTCTTCTCTACCATTTTCTCAGTCCTTCAGCTGATACTGTGATGTAGTAGGTGAGTTTAAGGGCATTGATGGTGGCAGAGGGTGGGATTGGCAGGAGTTTGTGTGTGTGTGTGTGTGTGTGTGTGTGTGTGTGTGTGTAGAAGTATCCGTGAAGAACAAAGACTAGAGCTGGGAGAGAGAAAAAAGACAAAGATTGGAGCTAGGAGCAAGACAAGGGTCAGTGTGACAAAGGATGAAAGAGGGATGCAGCGTGACAGAGAACAGTGTGGGGAGCATGGGCCCTGGGGGAGATGTCAATGGGACTAACAAGTGAACATTAGTTAGAGACAAAAATGGGAATGCAGAATTGGGTCAGGAAAAGCACCAGGAGAATGTGGGGGGAAGAGAAACTTCTTAATAAAGTGTTGGAGTTCAGTAGACAGAAGAGTCAGAATCAGGCTGTATCAGGGCAGGGGCTATCAGTGGGGGCTATTCATGAAGATGGCTCATTTTTGATCACCACCTTGGTGCAACAAACAAATCTACTTGTAAAAGATCAATTCACTAATTCCATGGTTCATTTTTTATTTCCTAAGTACTTTCAATGTGCCAAACTCTACGCTTAGCTCTGTGAATCCCCTAGTCCCATAGTGAAGACTCTTGAGGAAACTTTCTCTTGGTAATCTGGATGTCAGGTAGGTCTAAACTGGAAAAAAAAATCCTTCTCATTCTGTCTTCCATCCTGCATTTTGCAAAACAGATATAGATATTGGGAGAAGTTGTGCCTTGAATTTGGTGATCTCCATGTTTTGCCATTACATCGTAAGAATATGGCAGATGATATTTACATGTGACACATTGCCACTTAAATTTTGACAAGATACCCAAAATGTTCATATGGAGTGAAACAGATGGGTAGGTGGACATTTTTGTTGAGGTGTTTATTTATTAAAAAATGCGAGTCACTTTGAAGGGTATCTCAGTGCCTCTGTGGTATAGATAACACTGGTTTTAGATTATAAAAACATTTTACATGCTGGATTTAAGTGCATGTGAGCAAGAATGGTACATTATTAGAGGTATGAATCTAAATTTGCTCCAATTTATTAAGAGTGTAAACCATTTACAAATTTTGGTAACATATTATTAGAAATAAATTTCTTGTGACACATTTCACAATGAATCCTTTCATATATTGTGTTGCAAACAGAGGCCACTCTTAAAACCAGGGGTAGGGGCAGGCTGTTTTATCCATTAGGGATATGGCTTCAGTGTGTAGAGCCTGTGCATTTATAGAATCTAAGAGTGGCAAAAATATGAGATCTCAAGCATATGTACGAGGAAAACGGCAAAATGAAATTTTAAGCAAAGTTTTTAGCTGTTCTCTACCGTTTTTTCAATCTTTAAGCTGATACTGTGATGTAGTAGGTGAGTTTAAGAGCATTGATAGTGGCAGGGAGTGGGATTACCAGTGTGTGTGTGTGTGTGTGTGTGTGTGTGTAGAAGTATCTGTAAAGGACAGATACATGTTTAGATAATACAACTAGGCAAAAAGTAACTCAACTGCTATATATTTATCTAACTGTATCTGATGTGGGTTGTGGATGCACTTTAATATGTTGTCATGATATTTGGAGAGTCTTCCAAAATTAAGATTTCATAAAGACATAAAAGGCTTTCCCTTAAAGAAGGAATGGGCATAGCCACAAAATAGGGTTGATGGGACTTACAGGACGAAAAGACACTAGGAAGGAAAAGAGAAAGCAGAGCATGGAAGAGTGACTCAGTTTCTCCTTAGTGTGGATCGAATCTTCCCTATGATTTTCAGCTCTCCTTGGTTCTATAGCTGAAGCTGTGAGTCTCATCATTCCACCATGTCCCTGGAGATTCTATGAGTGATGGGCATGCTCTCTCTTTGTTTCTGCTGAGACACATGGGTGTTTTCAAAGCATTTGAAGGAAGCCTGCCAGGTAGCTCAGACCCAAGCTAAATTCAACACTGATGAACCTGCCTGGTGCACCACTCAAAGCCCTCAGGCCTTGGTTCTGAGACACCAGGTCCATCCGAGACATCTGTTCTCAAGGTATTTTTCTCTTCTTGGGCACTTCGCTCATCCCTTTCCTTCTTCTTTATTCCCAGGAAAGGAGTCCCCTTTGGTCATATTTGGATAAAAATTAAACTTTAATGTTGCTGAATATTCATTAAGGTGTTTTGACTATCGGAAAAAATACAATAGGATGGTGGCCAAACAGGTTTATAAATAATAATAACAGCAATAATGATAACCTACTCTTCTAAAAATAACACTTATATGAATTGACTCATTTAATCCTCCCAATTACCTCATGGAGTTTATTGTTATCCACATCTTACAAATTAAAAGACGGGGGCATGCAGAAGTAAAGTACCTTGCCCAAGACCATCCAGCAAGTCAGGGAAGAGCTGGAAAATTAACCCAGGAAGTCTGGCTCCAGAACTGTGTCCTTAACTACTGCGTGTGTCCTCGCCCAATCAGCACGGCCGCATGACCCCTCTCTACTCTTCTGCTCTTTTTTCTTGCTCATCTGGATGTTCTGTTAGGGCTCTGGGGGGGTACTTTCTGTAAGACTTTGGGTGTGCCTCTCTGTGCCTGTGACTTTCTTCTCTTCTCACCCCAACTCTTTCTTACATTGGCCTATAACCCTCCTGCTGAGAACCTCAGCAGGACTGAGATGGAGCCCTCAGAAGCCACTGAATGAAATGAAAGTCCTTTTTCACACAGATAGTAACCTCCTTTCCAGAGCCATGCTATCTTTTGTGAACTCTGCAAATACTGACAGGTGCTGCTTTCTGTTCCTATCACTTTCAGCAGACTCATCAGCTTCTAAGTCGTTATAAGAGGATCCTAAAGTTCATCATGACTCACACCAACCTTACCATCTTCCACCCTGCAGTTTTTGTCCTACTCGGCATCCCTGGGTTGGAGGTGTATCACAATTGGCTGTCCATACCCCTCTGCCTCATGTATATCACTGCGGTCCTGGGGAACAGTATCCTGGTAACAGTCATCATCACAGAACGTAACCTTCATGAGCCCATGTACTATTTCCTCTCAATGCTGGCCATCACGGACATCCTGCTGTCCACCACTACTGTACCCAAGGCCTTAGCCATCTTTTGGCTCCATGCCCATGACATTGCCTTTGATGCCTGTGTCACCCAAGTTTTCTTTGTCCATGTGATGTTTGTGGGGGAGTCAGCCATCCTATTAGCTATGGCCTTTGACCGCTTTGTGGCTATCTGTGCCCCTCTGCATTACACAACAGTGCTAACATGGCCTGTCGTGAGAAGGATTACTCTGGCCATTGTCGCCCGAAGCTTCTGCATTATCTTTCCAGTGATCTTCTTGCTGAAGCGGCTGCCCTTCTGTCGGACCAACATTATCCCCCATTCCTACTGTGAGCATATTGGAGTGGCCCGCTTAGCCTGTGCTGACATCACCATTAACATCTGGTATGGCTTCTCAGTGCCCATTGTCATGGTCATCTTAGATGTGATCCTCATCGCTGTGTCTTACTCACTGATCCTCCGAACGGTGTTTCATATGCCCTCCCAGGATGCCCGGCACAAGGCTCTTGGCACTTGCGGCTCCCACCTCTGTGTCATCCTTATGTTTTATGTTCCATCCTTCTTTACCTTATTGACCCATCGCTTTGGACGTAACATTCCTCGACACGTCCATATCCTGCTGGCCAATCTTTATGTGGTGGTGCCACCAATGCTCAACCCCATTGTCTATGGTGTGAAGACTAAGCAGATTCGTGAGGGTGTGGTCCGCCAGTTCTTTGAAATCAAGGCTTGGTGCTGTGCTTCCCCTCTGGGCTGATGGCTCCCCATGCATCACCACTCCTAGCTTTATCAAGGAAATTAGGTGTGAAATACAGAGATTTCCTGAAATGAGAGGGCTTTTGTTTCTTGTCCTGTTTCTCTTCTTCATCCTCCTACTCCTCCAACTCTTCTTTTTTCTCTCTCTCTCTTCTGGCTCTTCTTTGCTTCCTCCTGTTTTTGTTTTCTCTATCCTCTTCTCATATCCCTCCCCCACAACCCCAAAATGATAACTAAATGTACATGCCTCTGATATGTATGAACATTTGGTATCCCCAGTAGACCAGATATGCTCCAGAAACATAGGGAGTTGATACCACATAAAGTGAGTTATGAATAAATGGATAAAAATAATTTTATATTTAACACTGGAAAAGATTGCAGTATTTTATCCCAAAATGTGTGTTGATTCTTAGTACAGAATCAAGTAGCTCTCCATCCACTTCTACAGTGGCAGGTGTTTTTGAAAAACAGCCATGCATGCCGTTCAGTCCCCTGGAAAACTCCTGTTCATTCTTCAAATTTCAGTTCAAGAACTGCCTTCCCTGAGAAGTCTTTCCTGAGTTTTCATTCCAAGGATATTATCTTTGCATGTCTAATTGCATCTTGTACAAATCTCTAAATGTATATAATGAATTGTAATGGGTTGTTTATTTATTTGTACCCCCAATGAACTGTAAACTCCTTGAAATTAGAAGAGTGTGTGTCATTCATATTTGTACTCATAGTGCATTACAAAATGCCTGGTACATAATAAATGTTTAGGAAATGAATGAGAGCACACTTACCTCCCTGAAGCTAGAACATGCATCTCTATCATGCACTGAAATGATCAGCTAAATTAGTCCACAAACCTAGTGGTTAGTAAACAAGTTACTCACAAAGACAATCTGGCATCATGGAGGCAAATAAGCTGCTGATTACAGTGCTTTTTACTCCAGGCAATAGATAAGAGTAGGAGGAAACAGGGTACTATTGATTTTCTCTTTTACCTGGCTTCTGAACATCTCCATATTAGGAATTATAGCACATTGTTCTTAGCCAGGTTAGCAAAATTGGAGTAGTGTCTTGACTCTGATTCTTTCATACTTTTCCAGAAAAGGTCATGCACACTCATTTCCTCAGCCAACACCTATACTAATGCGTCCCACACATCTCTTTCTATCCTAGAATTCTTTTGAGTTTTAAATGCATAAACCCACCTAACAACTGGATATCTCCTCCAGGATATAGAATTCTCACTCATACTAGCTTTTCTTCCTGTTCCTGTTCTTGGGAACTAGATTATCATGATTCCATCAACTTCACTGAGCTGGAAACTCTGGTGAATTTCTCAACTTCTTCCTTTCTGGCCTGCTCCTCAAGAAGTTACTTGTGTTACTTGTTACTCATATTGATTGTACCACTAAATAGTTACCTGCATAGTATTTGGAGTTGTATCAGGATTCAAGTCCTTATCCCCATTGTTTTCTAGCTGTGTAAACTTGTTGAAATTTATTTAACATCTTTAGTCCCCCAATTTTTCATCTGTAAAATGGGAATAGTGATAGTACCTTCTAGGGTTGTTGATTTGATCAAATTAAATTATATATATATATATATATATATATATATATATAATATATATATGGCACGTAACATAATCCTTAGTTCATAGTAGGTAACTGAAAAATAATGCTAAGTTGTTATTGTTAATTTTCTTTTTAACATCGCCTCTACCAATTACTTATGTCCCTTATCATCTTTCACCTCAGATATTGCACTAGTTTCTTAATTGATTTTAATATTTCTAATCTTTTACACTGTAACTTAAACTATAAATTTATTTGATGTTAAGCATTCTAAAAGACAGAGGGGATTATACTACTTTCTGTTAAAAACTTTCACATGTTCTTCATTACTTGCAGAAGTGTTTTCCACAAAACATTGTGTAGAAATAAATATCAGATATTGTAATGGATGATTTATTAAAAAGTTCCATGGTCAAATAAGTATGAAAAATGCTGACATTCTGTGAGTCACACACATGGTTGTTCAAGAGAAGGCTAGAGTTTGCAATGTTTCCCACACTTATTTGACTATAGCTATTTGTATCCATGTCCAGACAATTTTTTTGATAGCACATCAAGTTACATCTCTAAAATTACCTGGTGTTCCATTAGCCACAATTTAGAAATCACAGGACTACAGAGTAATTTCTAAGCCAGGTGTTAATAATCTGATCCTAACTTACTTTTCCATCATTATTTCCAAACACACCACCATATAGTAATACATAATAAAGTCATAACACATTCGTGCAATGAAAAACATAGAAAAAATACGTCATGACTTTCCCCACAACCCAATATATAACAGTAACATTAATGATATTAATAATTACAACAGTGGTTAATGTTTTATTAAGAGATTACTCTGTGCTAGGAACCATGTTAAGTGCCCTGCCATTAGCTTATTTAATCCTCATACAACCTCATGGATTGTACTTTTGTTATCTCTGTTTTATACACAGGGCCATGCAAGGCTCATGGAGGATAAATAATCAAGTCCACACAGCTGGCAAATGGTAAGAATACTGATGTCAAGTTCTCTTTGAAGCCTTTGCCAATCCCCTAAGTCAGAGGTGATCAGCTTGTTCTCTGGGTCTCCACAGCAATGACATTTATAGTTTCAACAGAATATTAATTACTCTTCGAAGCCATCAGAACTTGAGCTCTTCACAGAGAAGGGCAAAGAATATGTCTCATTCATCATTATAGTTGCAGCATCTAGCATAGGGTTCAATATGTATACTTGTGGATTGACTAATTTGAAATGTTGGAGAGGTGGTTTATCTTTGGACCCTTTACTGTTAAATATTATCTAATTATATGACTGACAATCATTTATGTGTGTGTGTGCGCACATACACACACACACACACACACACACACACACACACACACACACCACACACACCACACACTTAAATCCTTCTGACCTACTATTTCTTCTATATCTCCAGGTTTCTATGTACATTGAGGTCTAGCAGGCATAAGCAGGGGTTTAATATTCTACATATTGACTAGCAACAACCCAAATCCACTCTGTGTCCATATGTTAGCCAAGTATATGGAGTCATTAGCAGATGCAGTATATATGGACTGCTGCAGGCAGGACATAGAGTACCCACCCTCTCTGGTTCCTGAGTCAGTGGTCTCTGGAGACTGGTTGTGCTGGGGTCTGCTCCTGTCTAATTAAACTAGATGCTCCCTAAAGACCTAGTGAGGTAGAAGCTCTCTCCTCACCCAAGGGGTTCCTGCAGATGAGGATAAATATTGTCCTAATTTATCCCAGAGTCTGCATCTGGATGCTTTTTTCACATACTGGGAAAGCGCTTTCTCTTGAGTTGGGTAAGTTTCTGGAAAGAGAATAAATGTTTGGTTCCTGGGATTTTTAGGTTGTTATTTCTTGGAATAAACCCAATTAACTGTTATTCAGATGAGATGTTCTTGAGTCTTCTGGAAGATGTAGTGTAAGTACCCACTATCCAGTGTGTATATCTTGACAACTTGAACTGCTGCAGACATTTTTGCTATGAAGGACTGGGACTAAGGTTAATTTTAATTCATTAAAGTTGCCTAAAAAATAACACTAAAAAGTATACTTAAGTTTTTTAGTATACTTACAACATTCGTTTAAGTTTAAATATATTATGTATATGAAAATTAGAATTTAGTATAATTTTACTCGATTTAATGAAAGAAGCTCATAAACAACATTTTCAAAACAAAATTATGGAAAATTTTAACCATTAAAAACACTCAAAAACATGTATATATAGACTCCCGTTTTTCCTTTTGCCTCAGGCTCCAATATGGCTTAGTGAAGCGCCATCAATCCTAGCTTTACTTAAAATTTTGGTATTTTGTTCATTGTGGATATTTTGCATTAATTTTGATTTTAAAAATTTTATTAAAATATTATTTATTTTGTTTACTGAGTTTTTTGGTAGCCACTTTAATTTTGCCCCTGAAATAAGAGCCTTAATCTTTTCACTTCAGTTCTGGCCATAGGCGAGTCAACACCTGGAGGGCAGAACTGAGACTCACAAGGAAATGGAGTCCCTAATGATGTCTTGAATCTTTAGATAAACCTGATACTAGAAACATACTTTTCAGTTTCCCTTTGTGTGTAAGCCAAAATGGGACTGGATTTTCTGTTACTTATAATGTAAACTGTCCTGATAAAAAGAGAAAAAAAGCTATCTTATGCATTTTAATCTTCAGCTTGCTTTTTCACATAATTACATTGCCATGGTTAAGACTCCTTTTTAAAAAAATGAAAACAAATTTCATTTTAATATACGTATCATAATTTATTTATTTCCTTATTGATAGATATGGAAATTGTAATAATTTCTTTTATTATTGCAACAATATAGCAATGATTATCCCTATAGATATATTTATATGTTCTCATGCTGTGGCCACTAGCACTGGGGGCTAATTGTTTTTCTTATGTTTTTCAATCTGATAAAAAAAAAAAACGATGATATTTCCATATGACACTGGTTTTCATTTTTTTAATTTTGAGCCTCTATTCATATGAATACTGACCATGAATTGCCAATTTGATTTTTTGCACATTTTCTAATTTTTCCTCATTCATTTATACCAGCTCTTAATATTTAATAAGGATAGTAACATTTTGCTTATTACATGTTTTACAATTTTTCTCCTAGAATTTTTATTTTTTTATCTACACTTTTACATAATTACATCATTCAGTTATTACTGACTATGAAATATGGTTTTCTTATCTTAGGAAGATCTTTCCAATCCCCCCAAATTTTCCTATGTTTTCTCTTAAGACCTTCATTTAAATTTTTAATATTTTTGTGGTTTTATTTTTTTAAATATGCATCTTTAATTTATATTGGATTTCTATTTCTTTAGTAAGTGAGGCGGGAACTAATTTTATTCTTTTACAAAAACAACATTGTCCAATATCCTAATGCCA